TTCCCAGGCCCTAATAACATGATACTGGCACCACAGAATAGCCTCTGATGTTCTTAAAGTATGATTAAGCAGGACAAGGTGGCACATGCCTGTAATCCCAGCACTTTGAAGGCTGAGGCAGGAATGCTGTGAATTCAAGGCCAGACTGGGTTACAAAGTGAAGTTTAAGGCCAGCCTGAACTGCACAGTAAAACCGTTACAAAAAGAATGATTGAGCTGCCTTAGTAAAAAATGAAAATTAATTCGTCCATCAACTAAAAGGTTATTTGATTAGTGAAGCAAAATTAATGGCCCCTGAAATACATCCCTCCTATGAACAAAAGTTTGGTTCCTCTTACTGAACCATATACAAGAAGCAATTGGAGGGCCGGCGGTATAGCTCAGTGGACTAAGCGCTTGCTTAGGTAAGCGCAGGGGCCGGGGTTCAATACCTGGTTCCGCCTGCCGCGCCGGCCCCACCTTCAGGTGCGCTGAGCTGGCCATGGAGTCTGGGCGCGGTGGCGCCCACCTGTAATCCCAGCACTTGGGAGGCAGAAATCAGGAGGATCACTACTAATGTGGGCTATGTAGTGAGACCCTAAGCAAAAAAAAAAGAAGCAATTGGAAGACAATGCCGTTTAAATTTTATTAAAATTACAGTAAAGACGCATTACCAAAAATCCTCAAAATACTCCCCCCTGCTTTGAACACATTCATTCCGTCATTCTTGTCATTTTCTGAAACAGTTCTGGAATTCCTCTTCCATGAGCCAGCTAAATTGTGCTGTTTAATCTCCCTGTGGTGGCTGCCTTTCTTCCCTGAATGATTCAAAATGTTTATCTTCGTGGTCATTTTAACTGAAGAAAACCCGTAAGTCACACAGTGAATACAATATGGTTGATAAGGTAGCAGTGTAATGTTTTTAGAAACCTGCCTTTAAAAACCAGAAAGACCCCCTAGAACTACTTCTGAAGGTGGCTAAAATGACAAGTTTGGGGTTTTTTTTGTGGTACCAGGGATCAAACTCAGGACCTTATTCCACTGAGCTATCTCCCCAGGCCAACAAAAGTTCGTTTAAAGAAGTGTTTTCAGTAAACAGCAAGGTCTTTACTGTAATAATTTTTAAAAATTTAAACATGTACTGTGATCACACTTCACATGTATGCTCATATATCCAGAAATGTACTCTCAGATCTCTTATAATTCCAATCTTACTAAAATAACTGAATTGCCCTTTCCAGCTAAAATAATTTTTAAACAGCCAACCATGAGAAAACTGTTAAGTTAAAGGTTTGTCATTTCCTCCCAAATTCAGGATCTCTGAAATGAAACTATCCAGATTCAATGGAAAAAATGTTTATTTCAACTCCTACAAACTGTTCTGAGTAACCTAATAAATAAGGGATTGATCTTGCCCCCAAAATAATGAACAAATCTGTATACACACAAAGTAACTAACTTCTAATTTCTAAAGAACTTAACATGATTTTCTTGTAAAGACACAGGAAAAACAAAAACAAAAACACCCTACAATTTCTGTGTTTGAAAGAATGTACAGGGGCCAGGGAGATGGCTCAGTAGAATAAGCACTTTCCTGGCAAGCACAAGGGCCTGAGTTCAATCCCCAGTTCCACCTTACGAAGTACACCTGGGTATGGTGTCCCAGGCCTGTAATCCCAGCATTCTGCACTCCGGAGGCTGAGGCAGAAGGATTCACTGTGAGTTCAAGAGCAGCCTGGCCTACAAAGTGAACTCAAGGCCAGCCTGAACTGCTTAGCGAGATCCTGTCTCAACAAGACAATAAACAAACAGGAATCTATGAAGGAATGATTAAAACTTATTACCTAGAAAAGCTGACAGTTTATTCTATCATTAACTTTTTACTTATCACTCAAAACGTTTTGCTATATTTCACTATTTTTATCTTTCAGAGATGGCAATCTGAAACTCAAACACCTTTCCGAAACACTGAAATTACTGTGTTTCCAATCTCTGGTATACCGGTATGAATTCTGACTTCAATTAAACATCTGGATCTACTTTTTTTTAAAAAGCAAACAAAGACATCCTTTTGCTTTAAAAGGCACAACAATCTCGCTCCACACCTAAACTACGTTTCACTTGAATTTTGTTACACTACAGTAAATGTCCCAAGCTTAACAGCACTCGATTTCAAGTACCACTAAATTACAAATTTAATCTTATTGAAGCCTAAATCATTCATTATACTTGTGGATTGGATTTACAATGAAATCTAACTTCTGTTAAAGAACTAAAAGAACTACCACTCTCTCTGAATTTTCCTGGTAAGCAATACATACCAAAAGCAAGTATTTTAACAAATATGACAAGCCAACCCCGGAACATAAAAGTTCATAGATAAAACAGACACTATAGCAGCATTTCTGAAACTATAAGCAACAATCCCCCCCCCAAAAAAAAATCCCCCAAAAACAATATAAACCAAAACCACACCCATTCTTATGTAAAACTTTTAAGAGTTTGCAAACTTTGTAAGCCACACCTTTGTTTTCATCTACTGTATGTAAGTCGTCCACATAAACTACCAATAGCAAAACAACAACAAAATCGAAAGATTCAATTAATGTCTCACGGGGAAAAACGACTAAAATGTTACGACATATTTAAGTTATCGGAGAGCAGAGTACTTCCCCCAAGCTACAGCCATTTTAGATTCAGCGTTTCTTTTGAATTTCACGGGGGGGGGAACAAAAATGGGGGAGATCTGGTAAAACACTCTAAGATCAACCAGTTTCCTACGCTTCCTGTGGGAAGGGAGGTTTAACACTGAACAAACTTAATTTAAAAGAAAACACTCCTCTAAGGCAGAGAACCGGGGATGTTGGGCATGAGAACTCGAGCCTCTCTCCCCTTCAGATACCCTACATTTGACTTACACGACTTTTTCTTTCTCAGGTTTTCCTTAATAGGAAAACAAAAGCCTCTGGCTCTCTTTTTTTAAAAAAACGCAACTCTAAACCAAGCTACTCAATCACAACTGAGCCCTAACTTGGACAGGGGCCAGAAAGCCGCAGGTGAGCGGTCCGACCCGAAGAGCAAAGTTGAAGTCGAGCCCTCTCGCGGAGCCGCGACCACACTCGCCTGCAAAGCTCCCCGCGTGAAAGTGGGGGGCGTCGGAACCACACAGCCCACGGGCTCCGCTCGCTCCTCCCTAGGCGGGCAGGCACCCAACCACCTGTGAGACCTTCCAACTAGTTTTAATATATAGCTAGCTGGTTAGGCACCGGGCGGAGCCCTGCGCTGAACAACTCCAAGGTCCCCTACTGCTCCATAGTCCGAGATTCCAACTCACCAGGCAGCGGCAGGGCTACAACCAAGGACGAGACGCGGCGTCCAGGGACGCGTCTTCTGCTTCTCAGCTCCGTAGAGGTGACTAACCCACAACCATAACAAAGCTCTTCCCAAAATGGCTGCCCGGCCCACAAGGCCCGGGGGGGGGCAGAGCGGGAGGAGGAGGAAGAGGGGGAGGAGCGACGGCCGGCCCGCCCTAACCCCGCCTGGCACACGCCCACCCGCCGGAGCGGAGGCGCTTGCGCGCAAGGCCCGGCCTGCGACCCTGCGGGGGGCCTCCGCCTCACGCCGTAAACGTTGAGCTGGCAAACGGCGGTTTGTTCCTTGCCTTATATCCTGCTCCCTCCAGCACACCTAGGTACGATGTGCACGGTCACCCTCACCCCTGTGCAGTTGAAGTCTTGACTTTTCCTCGCGCAAGCTGACAGAAAAGAAGCGAGTTTCATACTCGCCCTCATTAGCCCTCACTCCCGCCGAATTAGCGGGCCTAGGCGCGTGTGAATGAGTGGCCGGGTGTGTATGCAGTTACCGGCTCTTCGCAAACCATTCATTCTTCAACCCTCACACACACCCCGCCTCGGCCAAGCCCGCGACGCTAAAGTACTTCTACCCGTACTACCAACTCGGTTTCGAAAGAGTCTATTTAGCAACCCCCTGCCCACCTTCCGCGCCTGTCTTCACTTGTGCGCGTCGAGACTCCAGCCCCCAGCGGGCCACAGGGCCCTGCTCCCGAAGCCGGCGCAGCCGAGGCCGGCGCGCTACCCGCCGGGAGTGGTAGTTCCCGGGCGTGGGGTGGGCACCGCAGGCGTAGCACCCCAAGCGCTGGGCCAGTTTCAGATGGAGCCTGCGCTTTCACTACGGCAGAGAGGCCGTCTTTCCTGCCCAAAGTCTCATTGGGTATCACGCGACGGGAAGGGGCGGCGCTGCCTCGCCAGAGAAGGAAATAAAAGTGAAAGCGAGGTGGGGGGAGGGGAGTCCGCCTCCAAGCGGTTGATCTAGCGAAGGTTTTGTTGTGGCCTAACCTAGTCCTGGAACCTAAACCACGTGAAGGATGGTGTCCAGGAAGCGAGGCTACAGTGTATCCAGTAGAGGAACTGGCATGGACTCAATTTGTTTTTAGATTATCTTTCAAGACGCAAGGACACTCATATTGGCAAGTGTCATTTCCCTTCGTAGACTGATACTGAGAGGGTTGAAAAAAAATCAAATCCCAGGTGATGAGAGGAATGAGACGTCTTCTCATACCCCCATCCCCCCCACAGTTCTTAACAGCGAATAAAAAGCTGCTCCTTGCCCTTTAGTCCTTAATGGAAGTTTCTAAGGGTCCAGCAAAAAGAATGGAAATAAAAGCAGCATCCTGCCCCAGTAGTGGTAAAGGTCTCTAATGCGGAGTAACACTCGACCTGTCTATCCAAAACCCGGATGCTTTGAAAAGTTAAAAAAAAAAAAAAAAAGATGGCTGTTTGGCCAAGTCACATTTGACCCAAATTCCAAATTACCTTCCTTCGCTTTCATTCTGAGATTGTTTCAGAACTCTGCAGGCAAATTCGACTGGATAGGAACCTTGAAAAGGATTGATCAGGTAGCTTCTTCAACAGTTGACTTCAACAAAAATATTTTAAAGAATGTCCCAAAGACGGAAGGCCAGGCCTAGGAACCATTTAGCGCAAGTCAAACAGCCACCCGGACTTAGTTTTTAGATTCACAGGAAGTAGCGGCTAGCGCGACCTTCCGGAAGTGCTCTCCTGCCAATCGCTGGTTCTTCCTGCAAACTCAGTTGACCACATGACCGCGAGTTCTCAGCAAGAATCTGGGCGCCACCGGTGAGGTTAAGGAAGCGGTAAAAGGGTTAGTAATAAATAGAAGAGATGTTTGCGTTTAAGCTCCTCCTTCTTTCCTAAGATGTAGGCCTGAGGCTTACTTTGCTGTCGCCGCACCGCGGAAATGGGCACTTTTGAATGTTTTCTCCTGAATTTGGCTTATTAATAATCTTGTATCACTGTGGTCTCTAGGCGTTAGGCTATCACTTTTCGCTGTAATACTCATTACTTGGAAAGTGCAGTGGCTACGAAGTTTTCTTAAATGTAGGGGGACTGATATTTGAAAGGGTGTAATCTGGGAAATTCTTATGGAGAAAATGATTTGTGAGCGACAGTGAGGGCGGGAGGTCATCCAGACAACATGGACGCCTTAGGGAAATAAAAATCATTATTTGCTTACTAACGTATAAAACCAAGACATTGTCTAGTTTCCATTTCTACCCTGTTGTAAGAAATGTGATCAATATTTTTTCCCCAGCTCTGAGGATTGCACCCGTGACTTGGGAACTGAGGTACATCTCCGGGCTTTTCTGTTGGGGAGGATGGGTGTGAGGTTGAGGGTGGGACGAGGTCTCCTTAAGTTCATACTTGAATTTGGAGTCCACCTACCCCAGGCCTCCCGGAGTGCTAAGTTTACAGATATGTGTCACCACACCTAGCTCAGGGGTTGTTTGTAACTCAGGTAAAAAGCTTACCTAAGATGGTCGAGACCCTTCCTGAGTTCAACACAATTAAAGAGGTGCATATGGAACCTGCATACCTAGGTTGAAGTTTTCAGCCTCTTACTGGCTGCTTAGGATAGATAGGGTTGTTTTTTTTTACCATTCCTTCATAAGTAAGACAGGAATAACAGTTAATTTTTTTTTTGAGTGCTTATTTTCTCAGCAACAATTCTTAGCTTAAATGTATTTACAAAGTTTTTACAATGACCCTATGAAGTAGGTATCACTCGGTTTT